AGGACTTCTCAACTTGGTGGTGAAGGCCTGTAATCTCAGTCAATTTGGAGGCTGAGACAAGATACTCATACATCCAAGAGCTTCCTGAGCTACAGAGTTATTTCCAAGACAGCCTAGGAAACTTGAGACACCTGGTCTCAAAACAAAGGATATAAAATACAAGTAGATATAACTATGTGTGTATATTTATTTGTATAGTACAAATAAATAAATATGAAAGAAAACACAAAAGAAAAAGCTAAGGAAAAAACTCAATCTACGTATTTTAAAGGGTGCTACACAAGGCCCTGAGTTCATTACTCAGAATTCACAATACAAACACAAAGGAGGGACTTGTCCTGGTTGGGTTTTTTGGTCAGCTTAACAGAAGCTAGAGCCACTGAGAAGAGGGAGTCTTGAGAAAAATGCCTCCATAAAACTGGTCTGTAGACAAGTCTGTCTAGCATTTTCTTGATTCCATTGGTGTGGAAGGGCACAGCTCACTCTGATTGATGTCTCCCTTAGTAGCATGTCCAGGCATGTATAAGAAAGTAGGCTGTGCAAGCCAAGAGGAGCAGTAGGAAGTAGCACTTCCCATGGTCTCTGCAACAGTTCCTGCCTTCAATCTTGCGTCTATAAACTATGAACTGAATATAGATCCTTTACTCCCAAGCTATTGTTTGTATTAGTCTTTGTTATCACAACAATGGAAACCACATTCAGACAAAACTAGAAGTAGCTCCTCAAAACCAGCTCTATAAAGTAAAGCCATCATCATATTCAGCTCCCAGGGCACTCAGAAGTTCATGCAAATGGAATCTGCAAAAGACTTAAGGCTATGGGTGCTCAGGGAAAGGCATTTGTTTTAAAATGCCTGGGAGACAAGAAATAGATAGTTCTGCCTGTCGTAGTTGAGATCTATCATGCCCCAACCATCTGATCACTCAGATTTCCTTTCCTTAGAGGTAAAAGCTGTCCCTCCTCAGCTCATGGAATAATTGGGCTGAGATCACATGAAGGTTCAGTTCTTCTAGTGTCTTCCCACTGGATCCCCTTACCCTCAGCTCTGGAAAAAAAAAAAAAAGAATTCCCCAACAGTTTCCTAAGCTATAATTATATAGTTATATGCACTCTAGCCTCTTACTACAGGTTTGGCATTTACCTCCTCTAAGAAGAAACCGCCATACCCACACATCCATATCCTCTGCCCTCAGGCTCAGACGAAATCTGAATCCTCCCCAGATACCCAAACATTAGCACCACCTTGAAGGCCCTAATTCTCAGGGTTCAGAGTTTCCCCACCCTAACAATATCCCGTGTCCAGCTGTAGTATAGGCATCAAGGATGGACATGACACAGCATCACATAGCCAGCACTTCCTTGGCAACCCTTTGTGCTTTCTAATCCATATCACAATTACATACACATGCATTCAAACCATAAATCTCCAGCCCTAAGATGTGGAGCCCAGGGCAGCCTAGCCACACATGGGACCCAAGCCACACAGCTACCATGGCAGGTAGCACAGGTTTGGTGTGTGTGGAGGGGGTGAGGAATCCATAAGCTGACACCACCCTGGAAGAGCCAACTTCTAAGGGAAGAACCTAACAGTTCAACCATTAGATAAGATTAGATAAGACCACCAGATGTCCCTGAACCCAGGACTTCTTACACTGGGACCTTAAAGGGAAAGAAAGGTTTCCCTTTAAAACCTGCACAGGCACTTCATCAAGAGGAATAGCTTAAAGTAAGAAACAGTCATCATGGATTATTTACTGGCAAGAATATTTACTAACAAGAATTATGGTATTCATAACTAGGTATTAAAGGAAATGTTTATATTTTGAGGGCTAATGAAAGTAGATAGGTACCCAATTTTTTATAGATATTACCTAACAAAACAATGTTGTAAAACAGAATGAAAGAACACATGAGCAAGGTCCAGTCTCAGACTCTGGGCCAATACACCAAGCATCTCAGTAAAGTCACTGCATTTAAAAGGTCGCTTCTGAAGTGAAGAGAAGCAAAAACAAATATTTAGTTTGGGAAATTGTTTTTTATTTTTAGTTAGTCCTTCAAAACAATGATAACCAGCAAAATGAGAATTCACAAAATAAAGCATATTTATAAAGACTTGGAATAGCATTAACAAATGTTAATTATGGTACAGCAATAATTAAAGTAGTTTATTTGAACAAAGAAAAAGAAAATGCCATGAGAATCAGACAGCTCCTAAACCAAAGTAGGTTCTAGAACTCCAGCAGTGTGAAAGCATTTACAGAAATGGAAACAGCATTGAAATGCCATTGGAAGCAACAAAGTCAACTAGTCAATAGCTTGCAACTTTGTTGCAAGTTATTTAATTGGTTATACGACCTCTTGAATAATGTTTAATAACTGTGATCAAACTCTATTTTAGATGAGTCTATTTTGTCCAAAGGTGATACCCAAGACAATTCCACAGTCTCTGAAAAATTTGACTTAACACTAAGAAGCTATCAATTTCCTATTCACAACCACTCCTTGAACTGGCAGAACTACAAAACAAACTATCTTAACTCTGCAAATTCTGTAAGCTGTATTTGATCATAACAAAGATAAGACATTTAGGAGTTCCTATTTTTGTGCACATTAGTTAACTAATTCCCTTGTAATAAGGCATAAGCTGTACACAGTAATTCTTCTAATTTGACTTTTAAGATGAAAGTAAAATACAGCCAAAATGTATTCCCCACTCTTTTTTGACAAGTCAAAACAATTTAAATATTTTACCTTTTTATTCTGGTAATTCTGTATATCTGTAACTTGCAATGTATAGTTTTTCCTAGCACCCTGTTTTTATATCAGCAGCAATCAACAGTTTATTACCTCAAGAGAACACAACTCTGCTCTTACTCTGTAACAACGTGAAAACCTACCTTATGGTCGTTAGTCATTTAAGAAATTACATAAGAAAAACTCAACGTATTAATGGACCTCATTAAACTTGAGGCAAAGACCTGAATAAACAGCAAGGGAGCAAACTGAGGCAAGTATGTTTATTAAAAATTTAAATTAAATTTTAAAAGCCTACTTTGATGGGGGAAGAATCAAACAGGGAGCTTAAAAGTATTTTTATAAAAGCACTATATCACCAATACTTGTAATTGCAACTATATCATAACTAGTAAGTTTTTTATTTAGATTCAAGCACAACAGGTTGCAAGCACACTAAAGAATTTTCCGTCTTAATGGTCCTAAAAACACAAGTTGCTTTGCATAGAGCATACATCGTTTCAAAACTAGATACACCAAAACAGATGAGAATGTGTGTTAATTTAATCTTAGTCTTATCGTTTGAAATTATTCTTTGCTGTGTTTGGGGACCAGGAAGATGAAAGGATGGGCTCGTGGCAACATCTTTATAGAAAGCCAGATTCGAAAACTAGCATCAGTGCTTTCCAAACACAGTAACCAGAACTAGCAGAGGTTTCTCTTCGCAGAACCTTAAGATCAAGGACCAGAGCAAAAACTTTAGTGCTTTAACAAGATGGTCCGTAAAAGCTGAATTCTGAGGGTTGGGGCGGGGAGGACCCTCAAGAGAAAACTTTTTGCCTTGGGTCTGAAATGATACTTCGGAAATCCCTAAGTCCTAAGGGTTCCCTAATTAATCATGACATCCAAAGAACTGACTTTCAGCGTTTCTGGGTTTTGCACGCTACAGAAGTGTGCATTTATAAGCAGAAAGACAAGAATCGCATGGTGTCCCACGCCTGTAATTCCAGCACTACTCGGAAGGCTTCGACTAAGTGCTCGAGGACAGTCAGGGCTACAAAATGAGCCCACGTCTCCAAAAACAAAAGGTAAACAGTAAGAAGAAAAAATCCAGACCCTCGATGACTATCCCGGAAACGGGAGAAAGTTACAGCCAAACGACAAGTGACAACCATCGGCCACCTGACACCTCTGCGCGGCAGCAAGAGCTGCACTCACCCAGCGTTCGCCGGGAAACGCAGACCGCGGGCGTTTCGAAGTCAGCAGCGCGACCACACACTTGCTCTGCAGACACTGAGCTTAACCTCTCACGGAGCAGCCACCGAGCGCGCTGGGCGCCGCCATATTGACGGGAAGAGGCCCGGGCCCGAGGTCCCTGCGCCCCTCGGCCAGAGAGAAGCCGGTGCCCCATGAAGTCGCTAGCTATTCCACTCCGCACCTCCGGAGCTGTGTACGCCAGCCAAGATGCCACCTATGACCTCAGGCTGTGGACCAGGCCCAGGGAGAGCGAACTCACCCTCGCAGTCTCGCACAGCGGATCAGGCGACGCTGAAGACAGCCTCACTGGATACGGGCGGGGCAGGGGCGCGCGCTCCGTAACCCGAGCAACCAGGCCTGGGCAGGTGTAGGGGGCGTGGTGTCCTAAGATGCCGGGGTCTCGGCCACGCCCCCAGACGGTGTGGTAGGGTGCAGGCTGTGGCGGCTGCGAGCTGCTGAGATCGAGCCCGTGATCGTCCTCCCTAGGAGTGTGCCCGGGGCTGGGCGGCCTGGCCTCCTGCCGCCGCAGCCGCCTGTGAGGAGCGCGGAGCCTCCCGGACGCGGGCGCCTCCCCTTAGCTGCCCGCCGCCCTGCCTGCG